TTTCAATGTCACCTGCTCAGAAAGACCTTTGCTGGTTACATTATCTACAATTATACACCTTCTACATCCCAGACACTTGCCTCTCCCTTTCCACTTCAACTTTCCCCTTAGCTCTTCCATCTACTATATCATGTTTTATTGTTTATCTTATTATCTGCCTCGCCCCTATAATATAAGCTTCATAAGGACATGGATTTTTGTCCATTTTTGTGCACTATTGAACCCCAAGAATCAAGGACTGTCAATCCCTGGCACATAGTAGGTACTCAACAAATAGTTTGGAGGAGGAAGGAAAGGACAGGATTATATTCAAGAAGAAAAAACCCAATATTTGGCATAACATATTAGATAAATGATGTTAAAATACTGTTGGGGAATTCATAAAATATTTATTTGTAGGAAGTGAAGTTATTCTTGAATGAGTTACTAGCTCCTACTGGGGAAAAGACAGCATTCGCACATTGTAAAATAATACTATCCAAGGGATAATATTTTCATTACAGACTTGCAGTTCTGCTAGCTATAATCTGAAGGGATAGAAGAATTCCTCAAGGTTTGAGCCTACAATTTCAAATAAAAAAAAAATGCTAGGTTGGAAAATTATAGGGGTTCCTGTAGGTAATCCACAATAAAGTCAAGCATGGTGTTCGGTAGGTAATAATGATAAAGTTGAGTTTTCCCAGGGGAAAAAAAAGTCTCTTTCTATATAAGATTCTAGGATATGATATAGTAGTACAATTTGGGGAGGAAAAAAAAAACTCTTTCTTTTTTTTAAAAAAGAAAAGAAACAGGCATAGATACTCATTTTACCATATAAGAAAATGTATTTCGATGGGATTAAAGAGTTAAATTTGTAATAAAAATCTAAAAAGAAAAAAGATTCTTTTTCTGAACTCAGAATGTAGAATGAAGTTTAAGCATAAAAGTCAATGAAATAAATCAAAGATCAAAGAAACATATTAATAGATTAAAGTGAATTAAAAAAATTTTACATCAACATACAATAAACAAAATTTAAAGGCAAATGGCAACCTTAAGAGTAAGCATTTGTAACTTATGACAAAGGAAATAGACACACACACACACACACACATACACACATAGATCTTATAAACCAGTAAACAGAGCAATACCCAAATTAAAAACAGACAAGTCATAAAAAATATAAATAGTTAATCAACATGAGAAAAATGTTTATACCCATTAATAATAAAGAGTAAAAATGTCTGTCAAATTGATATATTAGGTCATGGGCATGGTGGGAGAGGCACCCAGGTACTGCTGATGGCACTGAAAACCGATTTACTAATTTAGCCTTTTTGAAAAGTAATTTAGCATTTATACATTCATGCCAAAAAACAAACAAACAAACAAAACCTATCCTGAGTCCCTAGGCATTGTCCTAATTTGGAGTGCTACAGAAGAGAAAAAAACAGCAAGGTTTCGGCTCTTATGAAGTTTTTATTTTATTCAAGTAAATAAGGAAGATGGAAGATGATTTCAGATAATGACAAAGACTACAAGTGAAATAATCGGCTCAATATGATGGAAAATGACTGTGGGAAAGCGTGGATGATGCTTCTTCAGGCTAAGAAGGGCTCTTGAAGAGGTGATGTTTCATTCTTTCATGTACTTATTAAATGCCTTTCATATGCCAGGCACTGATATAGGCACTGAGGAGTCTTGAAGTGATTGAACCGACAGAAATTCAAGGTCTTGTGATGCTCACGCTCAATAGGGGAGATACAGACAAACCACAAACACGATAAAAAAAATTTATGTATTATATGCTAAGAAAAGGAGACTGAGACATGTGGACACAGGAGCTGATGAAATTTACATTAGCCAAGGAAGGCCACATTAAGAAGGCAACTTTCGAGTGAAGATTAGGGAAGCAAGGGGCGAAGATGTCAAGGAGCTCTTCGAAGAGCTGGGAGTAGTAGATGTAAAAGGGCCCTGTATGGTGAGCTGGAGGAGAGGAAGGCAAGAGGTTGTGGGCCATGTTAGGGGGTTTGAGTTTTATTCCAGCTGCAATGAGAAGCC